CAAATATAATTAATAGGGGCATTTTTTTAGAATGTATTACTCATTTAAACAGATAGAAAAAAACTCAATAAAAGTATTTAAGCAGAAAATGCCAGGAGTTTAAACAAAGCAGCCAAATCCAAATATGTAATTTTACAGCAGCCACTCATCAATGCACACAGCAAAAACCACCAAAGTCTTTACTTGGCATGCTGCTTATCATATTCCACTTACCCAGGCTTGATTTGTCTCCAAAACTCAGACAAATCAGTCAACATAGAGGAAGTACAGCTCTTCTGATGATCAGTATCTCCAGTGGGCGAGGACAGAGGTGGTAATAATAGTGGTAGAGGAAGTTGTGGAGGCAGTGGTCTTAGTGGTATATCACTTACCATACTCTGATTATGCATCCGTAACCGTTCTAGCAATACATCAGTGTATGCTGGTGTTAGTGAATCATTTAGCTCTAGAGGGCCGTCCAGCTTCTTGGCAAGAGATTTAGAACTCTCTTCAAGAGTAGTGACGTAGTGTGGTTGATGTGAGTCATAACTAGTGGATTTCTAGGATTAATAGGAAAGGCAAAGTAATAGCAATATTAGGTATTGCGGTTAACACGTCAAACATGGGGGATGAAATTAAAATACATTTCAGATATAACATTTTCATTTAATGATGCAGATAATGTACAAATTTGCAAATTATGTATCCACCTCAATTCTCAAGAATCTCTTCTTAAAAACTAAAAATATTTTAGTTTTTATGATGTGAAAAAGAAAGAACATAATTCCATAACTTTTTAAATAAACATTTTTTGATACTAAAACTGAATGAGATACCAAAGGTTACAAAAATGAAAAATAAATAAAGCTGAAATGCAATTTAGTTTCACATCAATTAGTTAGGGAGCTCAATACCCCTTATCTTAGTAGTGTTAGTGCACTCATAACTTTGAAAGCTATCCATAACCTTTACCTTACTGGCATATTTAGGCATTCCATTACTCATAACTAGCAACGGTGTTGTGGTTGTAGCATCAGGGATTATTGATAACTAAAAATCAAATCAATTATTAAACATAAATTAAAGACAGTGATTGGGTGAAAAGAATATTTTACTTTTAATTTATGCACTTAATTCTAAATAAAGAAAGTTTTTTTAAATTTGAATGAAGGCAATTGTTGCTGAGGCTCTTGTACATGTTGAATGGCTGCCACATGCTTCCCACAAAGCTACATGAAAAGATGAAAGCGAAAAGAATTAAAAGTAGGATTCATGGAGACGATTAAACCAGTGCTGTGCTGAATGAGAGAGAATACCAACATCTTCAGAACACTAGAGTTACTTGTACGAAAGAAACATGTTTGTCAGTCTGTCAAGTTAATCTATTTCAGGTATGAGGGTATACCGTATTTGCTCTATTAGTAGTGCATCTATTTCAGGTATGAGGGTATATCGTATTTGCTCTATTAGTAGTGCATCATATTCAGGTATGAGGGTATACCGTATTTGCTCTATTAGTAGTGCATGTGCTTATTTTAATGACAGAGGTCAAAATAAGTTTAATTTTAATGATTTAGTAAGCAATAAATGGTTTGGTTTATGTGCATCTTTATTAGAGATGTGTTTCTAATAAAGCAAATAAAATATTGTAAAATCAGTCTTATTATCTACCTAGGTATTTTTCATCTAAAACAGCAGTACAGCACTAGTTCAAAGTTACAGACTAATATATATATATATATATATATATATATATATATATATATATATATATATATATATATAACCCTTAAATGCATTAAAGTTTTATGCTATTACCAGATATGCTATATTTATCATTACTATCAAAAGGCAACTTTGAAATAACTTGATTTTTACTATATATAAATAATTGCACAATATTTTTATTAGGTTGAGATCAACAGACATGAGTGATTACCGCAGAGTTTTGTATTAATCTCAACTAAACAGAAAGGCATGTTGGTAATAACATGTTTCTGATGATGTTAGTCTAAACAAATATTCATCACAGGTAAAAAAAAAAAAAAATATGTGGAAAGTTGAACTAATGAAATAACATAAAACACAATTATATAGTTGCATACACCTGTATTACGCTACGCTGTGAATCATTTTAGCTTATTTATGATTTGTGCTCATTTTTTTTTAATTTCAATCAAATGAATTATAATTTTTTGTATTACAGATTCATTTTAACCTGTCCTGTAATACGTCACAGTATAGAGATAGCCATGTTATGCATGTGATACACAAATCAAGTGAAGAGTTTGTTGGTACATATTTCTCACTTTGCAAAATTCATGCAATTAAAATGATCACAATCATAACTATTGAATATTATAATGAGGGTGTTGTTGACTTACCTTACTGAGGGCAGTACTTTCACTATGTGAGGTTTTCAATCGTGGTACTGCATTGCTACTGAACACATCGGCACTGACTGGTTTCCTATTAGCATACTGAACACTACCAGCACCTGTACGTAAATACACATTGTTATGTTGCATAGTCATGTATGGCTGATCTGTACTCTTCAAAGTACTTGACAAATATGGTCTTGACTTGTCAGTGTTCTTTTCCCGAAAACTGTCATTTTTAGATGGGCGAAAGCAACGTCCTGTGGGTGGGGAGTTTGCCTGCGGTTGTTGGCTTGGTAACAGGTTATATGGTGATTTGATAGCAGCGTGTGGTTGGGGTGGCAGTGATTGGCTCGGTGGAGGAGACTGTTGATGTTGACATGTATCATCACTGCTATCTCCATTCTGTTCTTGATATTCTAACAGTGTTGGAGGTCCTCTTACATTCAGACCTGTGAATAACACAATTATTAGTGTTTTCTGTATTCAATAACTCCCTAAAATGATACAGGGACACTGAATTTAGGATGGCCATAAAAACTAATATCTTTGTTTATCAAAGATGGCATGAAAAACAAGTGATTTCAAAGTACATCACAGAGGGCGATATGACAATTTGTATGGAGGTTCTGGTTTGTTTATTTTCACATACATCAGCAGTTCAGTAAAGAAGCCAAAACTGATCTACCACCACCCTTGAAAACTCCTAAATAAGATATACCGATATATGAGAAATAAGAACAACTTCATTTTCTAGTCATAGAATATTACAAGATATACCATTTGTTCAAAATACATATATTGTATGGAAGTGTTCCCAAACAAACAAGATCAATGCATGACAGTTCCAGGTTCACGATGTGGCAACATTGGGAAAAATGACAGAGTGTGTAAAAACATGTTTTTATTTTTTTATTTACTATGCTGTATTTGCTGATGTTACAGACATGTAGGAAGTGGTTGAATCACTCTTAAATCATCCCAGTCATTGCAAAAACTGAAGATCTTCTTCACATGCATAGTATAGTTCACAATAGGCTAATATCAAACCCAAAGTACTATATAGCATGACAGTATTAATAATTACATTTACAATTCTTATTATTAAGTATTTTTTTTATGATGTTATGGTGTGAATACTGAGTAGTTAAGTTAGTGCTTGTCTTTTAGTAAAAGCATTGTTTGTATATCTGATAACATGTTTAAGCAGAGATGACTCTGTCATGTTAATTATAATTTATAAAATAAGAAAATAAAACAGACACCAACCTGCATGTGTATATCCATGTTTAAACGTTGCCATGGCAGCACTGTTACTACCCTCATCTAATTTAAACTTGCGTATGTTGTATTCTTCCTCCTGTAACGATTTTGTTAATGCCAATAATCGCCGCAGCTGAGTCTCGTCTGAAAACTGCACCACATGGCATAAAAGTATGAGAATTAATACTTTAGATCCAATGTGAAGTCATAATAAATGTAAGATTGGTAATATTATATGTATACTGCTATCATAACTGTACTGGTGCTCTTCTCATCTATGGATGCATTTTACTCCATTTTATTCAGTCTGAATATTAAAAAGTTGTATCAATTATGTTCACAACAATAATAGAAATTTTTTTTTTTTAAATTTTTTTCGTTAGTTTGCATTTTATCATTTCTTATAAATAGGTTGCCATGTAAACATTACTGTTGGGAGGGACTCGTACCACAACACTACCCCTTCATATGTTTCCAAGTATTATTTTTGATCACATAGTTGTATGACATCAAAAAAACATCTCCACTCCACAATTTGAATAACACCGAAAATATTACCTTAACTCCTGCTGCTTCCTTCTCCTGTTTGTCCTGAAGTAGTTTTTTCATTTCCTCCATTCTCTAATAAACAGATTCAAAAGTTATTGCCATGGCAACATAATATTACTAACTGCTTATAACATACAACAATATAACATACACAGTTTACCTTAGTGGCTCTTTCGTCCAGTCTTTCCTGAGCAAACATAGGTATACCATTATTACTTCGCCGCTGATACTTATTCACAAACACTGGATACTTCTTTACCATGTTAACACATTTACCAAGTTGGCCAGCCTGTAACGAGGTAAAAATAATCACTCGTTATCACATGACATTCTACAGTATTGGTGCTTAATGTTCAGAGTCATCAAGTCAGTTATGATTGGTTAAAAGTGGTCATGTGATATGCATCATTAACTTGCAATAAATCCTGGGAATATATGAAAATTAATTCTGTACATGGAATGCAGTTCATGACTTTGATGGAGGTAAATTGCAGTTAAGACTGCTGTGTCCTGCTGTTAATTATGAAGTATTTTAATTTTTTTATACGTTACCCCAAGATGAAATCAAGCTTTGGACCCTATCACTGGCATATGGAATAACCCTGATATTTGCTGCCAATGGGCTGTACCATTTACAACAGTTACATGGGGAGAATGTAATCTAGTAATCACTTGACATATATATACACTATTTAAAGTCTTTTCTATGGTGACTTCCAGGTTAGTAGTAGTGAATTGCAAACAAACAAACAAACAACTTGGTGAACGAGTTAAAGTTTACTGTGACATAACTCAATGGTGCTCCCTAGCTTACTACAAATTATCTTAATCTGTTCACAAGTACAAGTAGGTCTACATTCTGAGAAAAAACTAGATGGGTAAAAGCAGGGAATAACAAGACGGGTTCCAAAGCAAGCTATAATGACAGACTAGGTCAAAATATTTGTTATACGGTAAATACAGCGACTAAAACAGAATAGTTCTACATATACAGTAAATATGGGTTTAGTCAAACTAAAAGGAACACAGAATGTGATGACGCAATGCAGTAATGTTGAGGAACACACAAAGTGATGATGTAATAAATCTGTGTGAAGGAACACAGAATGTGATGATGTGATGTAGTAATGTTGATTAACACACAAACTGATGATTTAATAAATGTGTGAAGGAAAACAAGATGTGATGTACTTGGAGTAATGTTGAAAAACACAGAAAGTGATGATGTAATAAATCTATGCAAGGGAACACAGAATGTAATGATGTAATTCAGTTATGTTGACGAACACAATATAATGATGTAATACTGCAGGTATATGTGGAGGAACACAGAATGTAATGATGTAATACTGGAGGTATATGTGGAGGAACACAGAATATAATGATGTAATACTGCAGATATATGTGGAGGAACACAGAATGTAATGATGTAATACTGCAGGTATATGTGGAGGAACACAGAATGTAATGATTTAATACTGCAGGTATATGTGGAGAAACACAGAATGTAATGATTTAATACTGCAGGTATATGTGGAGGAACACAGAATGTAATGATTAATACTACAGGTATGTGTGGAGGAACACAGAATGTAATGATTTAATACTACAGGTATATGTGGAGAAACACAGAATGTAATGATGTAATACTGCAGGTATATGTGGAGGAACACAAAATGTAATGATTTAATACTGCAGGTATATATGGAGGAACACAAAATGTAATGATTTAATACTGCAGGTATATGTGGAGGAACACAGAATGTAATGATGTAATACTGCAGGTATATGTGGAGGAACACAGAATGTAATGATGTAATACTGCAGATATATGTGGAGAAACACAGAACGTAATGATTTAATACTGCAGGTATATGTGGAGGAACACAGAATGTAATGATGTAATACTGCAGGTATATGTGGAGGAACACAGAATGTAATGATGTAATACTGCAGATATATGTGGAGAAACACAGAACGTAATGATTTAATACTGCAGGTATATGTGGAGGAACACAGAATGTAATGATTTAATACTGCAGGTATATGTGGAGGAACACAGAATGTAATGATGTAATACTGCAGGTATATGTGGAGGAACACAGAATGTAATGATGTAATACTGCAGGTATATGTGGAGGAACACAGAATGTAATGATTTAATACTGCAGGTACATGTATATGTGGAGGAACACAAAATGTAATGATTTAATACTGCAGGTATGTGTGGAGGAACACAAAATGTAATGATGTAATACTGCAGGTATATGTGGAGGAACACAAAATGTAATGATGTAATACTGCAGGTACATGTATATGTGGAGAAACACAGAACGTAATGATTTAATACTGCAGGTATATGTGGAGGAACACAGAATGTAATGATTTAATACTGCAGGTATATGTGGAGGAACACAGAATGTAATGATGTAATACTGCAGGTATATGTGGAGGAACACAGAATGTAATGATTTAATACTGCAGATATATGTGGAGAAACACAGAATGTAATGATGTAATACTGCAGGTATATGTGGAGGAACACAGAATGTAATGATGTAATACTGCAGGTATATGTGGAGGAACACAGAATATAATGATGTAATACTCAGGTATATGTGGAGGAACACAGAATATAATGATTTAATACTGCAGGTATATGTGGAGGAACACAGAATATAATGATGTAATACTGCAGGTATATGTGGAGGAACACAGAATATAATGATTTAATACTGCAGGTATATGTGGAGGAACACAGAATATAATGATGTAATACTCAGGTATATGTGGAGGAACACAGAATATAATGATTTAATACTGCAGGTATATGTGGAGGAACACAAAATGTAATGATTTAATACTGCAGGTATATGTGGAGGAACACAGAATGTAATGATTTAATACTGTATGTTTTTAAAAACAGGATGTGATGTTTAACACATGATTTGTATTATATAAAACAATGGGATATGACAGAATGAATATACTAAATTATATTATTCCTGTAACTGCTTTGCCTTATGAACAGGACTATTTTGTGATGAAAAAGGGGAACTGGTTGTGAAAAAGGTTAATAGTGTCAATTTTATTTCTCATTCGTCAATTTCAGGACAAAATTCAGAATTGACAAATCTGTATACAGCAGTTGGAGGAATAATGTACATAGGAATCAGACTAATTGAATGAGTTGAAAGGTCACTGCAATGATGTTAGTTTTCAACATAACAAATATTTAGAACACCTATGATGTGTACCATCGATCAATGACATAATAATTTACACAACAAAGTCCATCAAAAAACAATTATTATTTTGTTTTAAAAATGAATATGTTCAAAATAAAATGAAATTCCAAATGTTTTGTTGGTACTGTACTGGTTTTAAAAGGTTAAATTCACTGAAGTAAAAATGTATGTTCATTGACCAAAATAAAGCTTTCTGATTGGTTTAACTATGGCACACATTATAGGCTATTCCTAAGACTAATCATTTCACCGCCATTGTCAATTTAGTAAAATATCCATTTTTTTTTATTTAAATTTATTGAAACTTTCACCCAAAATCTTTAATTGAATCAGTCATTTTGATTCAAAACTAGTCTTGAAATTAAAGTAATTTACATAAAATGTAAAAAACCAGGATTGCTTTATAATATGACGGTGAAATGGTAAAAGTTGGATACATCACATAACATGACATGAATACAGACAGAATGAGAGGACAATTCTTACCAGAAAGTAATGTGATGCAATGCAGGAAAGAAAATACATTGAAAGATTAAAATAATAATAATAATATAAATGAGTCGACAAATCATTTTTTAATCAAAATCATAAAAATATCGAGTCATAACAATACATCGAATCATACATATAGTGCAGTTAAAAAACTCAAAGTGCGTTGATACAAGAACATGTTAATTTTAAAATGTGCACAATTTGTTAATGGTACTCTACATGTAGTTTTGGTAGAATCCTGGATCTGTCGGCGTATCGATCCCAGAATTCCTGGCTTTCACTTTGTATGATGTGGTGAATGTTCGTCTCTTCTGGCAGTTCAAAAAGTCGTCCCTCCAAAGGACGCCGATTCTCAATTGGAACCTGCAAACTAATCGTCTGCTTTTCTCTCTCAAGTAAGTTAGCCATATTGAATTGTTTTATGTCTAATCGAATGTTGGCGGGTACAGGGCTGAACTCTCGCTTGGTCTTCTCAGCACCTCTCCCAAGTTGAGGAAAGATATCAAAGCTTTTCATCTCCAGTAAATGGTATTCCTGTGTTGAAGCTTCAGCACGCTGTCTTAGCTGTTGATGGAGGGCATCCATATTTGGCCTCAGTGCAGCAATTGGTAATTGCTGCATTGGGCACAGTTATAATAGCAGAGACAGCGCAAGTAGTATGAATTGAGTTAGTAAACAAATATGAGTTAACACAATGAATAAACAAGAAGGTATATTCACAGTAGACTTGATCGATTGAGGAGCTGCAGAGAAGGAGAGTGATCAGCAGATGAGAGTAGATTGCAAGCAGGACTAAGTTTAATCAGAACACTGTAAGATGGTCTGGTGCAGATGATGATAGACTGCAATTCAAGCAAAGCCAAATCTTATCAGAACATGTACTGCAAGAGGGAGGACTGGTGTAGGATGATCAAGGACTGCAAGCAGAACTAAATGAAATCAGAACACTGTAGAACTAGTTTCTATGTCTATGGCACTGAAGTTAAGGAGCTTTACTACTTTACATGATGTCACAATTCAAGTTGTAAGGATCCCTAATTTGACTCAGGAAGATTATAATACATTTACACCATGTTCATGTTGTTCAATAGTAAACAATACTTAAAAGGTCTGCCATTTTGAAATATAACTTGAAATAAATGCATGTTAATATTTGCGGCATTTGATGTACAATATGTCATAAACAATAACCCAGAACAACATTCATTAAAACAAAACTATTATGTCATTCCTAATTTTGTATCTTATCTGAAAAAATCTTATATTCCCATTATGATTGATGTATGAACCAGGTTTGAACAATAGCTGTCCATGGAAAACCATGGAACCAAGATATATGTGATAAAAGCATGTCTGAAATGACTCAAAAATACATTTCTATATTTTGCTTTTTCAGAAGTTTCTTGTAATTAAGATAAAGTTGTTGCTACAGGGATTGCGAAATAGGTAAGTACAAGGCTCCTTAAGTTTTTCAAAAACATATATCAAGCAATTCCATTTATACCAGAGTAAATGACAAAGGTCAAACAATTCCATTCATACCAGAGTAAATGACAAAGGTCAAGCAATTCCATTCATACCAGAGTAAATGACAAAGGTCAAGCAATTCCATTCATACCAGAGTAAATGACAAAGGTCAAGCAATTCCATTCATACCAGAGTAAATGACAAAGGTCAAGCAATTCCATTCATACCAGAGTAAATGACAAAGGTCAAACAATTCCATTCATACCAGAGTAAATGACAAAGGTCAAACAATTCCATTCATACCAGAGTAAATGAAAAAGGTCAAACAATTCCATTCATACCAGAGTAAATGACAAAGGTCAAACAATTCCATTCATACCAGAGTAAATGACAAAGGTCAAACAATTCCATTCATACCAGAGTAAATGACAAAGGTCAAACAATTCCATTCATACCAGAGTAAATGACAAAGGTCAAACAACAATTTGTTTGCCTAATCATGCAAGAATTTACAATATTTCTAATTAATTAATTAATTGACTTGAAATTCTTAATTTTTTTCTCATTGATTACAATGATCATGCTGAGGAGTACGAGGTCCATCTGTATGATGTCATAAGCTAGTGAAAGGCTCCCTAAGTTAACTGCAACTGATACTTATCCTGCTGAGGCATTTTCCTACCATAGTTGATTGAATCAAGTAATATCAAATTCTAAAGAATTAATACTACTTCGACCAATAACAGGGAACCACACAGACAACTGATTAGTTAGTTGTACATAATCAACCAATCAGAAGACAGAGGTCATAAGGTCAGAACAATATCTGCAACAAACTTATCGGAATACTACAAGGAAAATATTGGACCAGTGAAAGTCACACATGGAACTTCACTTATAGATGTATTTATTCCAGCAAACCATGGAATTGACATTTCAACAGACACTTTTATCTAGAAAAAAAACAAACTTCAAAAGCTTTAAAACACTGTGGCAGCATAAAAAAAATGTTTTTTATGTTTGGAAAATTGAGTTTCAATCGCATCAGCTTGCATAGTAGGTATTTAAATGAGATGTAAAATATAAATCTTGTATGTGTGTAGACAACAAGCCAGCATCCAGAATCTCACAGCTGAAATACATGCATATATTATCACAGAAATCAAAAATAACGAATTTGATATCACTTGCTTTGTTTTTCCCACTGGTAGATTTATCCGTTCCATCTGTGTAAAACACATGCGGCCACTTGTCAACACGTAAGAGTGTCTTTAGTGCCATACTGTTCCTCTGTGAAAATCATACTTGACATTTTTTAATCAATTTTCCATAGCACAAAGAAAACACAAAATGCTGTTACATAACACACAACTGCTTAACAACCATGCATGCACTGATTAATTAGTTTACAGTTCTGAGAAATATCAACCCATGAAACAAAGTTAGTATTCAAATCTTAAGCAGATGATAAACATATAAATGAATGGAATATCACAACAGCAGACTGAAACTACACATATCAGATATTGGAAATGGAGTAAACATCAACCAACAAACAACATCACAGGATAGGTCACTTTGGTCTCTATGTCTAATATATGCAGCAAATACATTACATTTCATTCATTCATTCAATAATGATGGATGAGCTAGAAATGTAGCAGATTTATACAGACGTAGGTGGGAAAAAGTGTTACATTGCATGTTATATCAGGATTGACTGTTAATAGTTGTAATAATCCTGTTATCCTATGTCTGCCACCCAGGAAAAACCAGAACTAAAAGTCTATAATTTTTTTATTTTGGGAAAATCTCTGGAAACCTGTGTTCGAAAGCAATGTAGTACACGGAGCATGTCAGATTACACTTTTATCACATAAGGCAAAACCAAGTGAACAAGAGATATATAATAATGAAGTATTCCTTAGTTTCCAAAAATATGATTTGAGATCTGCTCTATTTGCCATAAAAAACTTAAACCATGAGACACTTGTGAATACTAAGCAACAGGTAATCACACCATTAGAATAGTCCAAAGGAATATGAACATTACAAACTTTCCATGAGGAAATAAATACAAATCAAAACAATAATAATTCACTGTAGTAGGGAAATAAACAAAAGTGTGTCCCTCCACCTCAAAAAACCTATTGTATTTGTGCATTATTATTGCATTTTTTACACTGTGCTTCAACATACACAGAGTAATCACCAAAATTGATATTTGTGTAGAACCGTTTGGTTAAAACATGACAGATTTTATAGCTCAGTGATTTGAAAGTACACCAGTCATGTGTAGAGCGCCCTTTATGTTGGTATTTTGCAATTGACAATGTTATCTTTCAATTAGCTGGGATGAGGTTCTGATCATAACATTACCACCCTTTGACAAACAACCAATTTGAAACTAGCTAATATGTGGCTAAAATTCATTGTTTCAAAATATAGAATATTTTCAGCATTCCATTGTTAACCCATCACAGATTCAAAACCCAACATCAAACAAGAATGTCAGTATGTTTTATGAACAAAAAACACTATTGTCTATTCTAGTGCAGTCCCAGGGATGACACAATGGGACTTGAATTCATAATTAGAAACAATGTTATTCCCTTGAGTAAAATATTATACATATTGCACCAGCCTTTAAAAAGTTAGAAATAAGATGCAACTCTAATTCTCAGGGATTTATTTCAATACAAGCATGCAAGGTACAGCAGACTGCTATAGGCTGTGTTAGTATATAGCTATACTGCAGCAAGCTTGTATGAATTGTTATGTTTGCAATTATTGGGATACACTGCAATATGTACAGAAAGAGTTTAGAAGAAACAATACAATATACATGCAATAATATTGGACATGTACTGATTATGCATTAGACATGTACTGATCATGCATTAGTCATGTACTGATCATGCATTAGACATGTACTGATAATGCACTAGACATGCAATTATAGAATGACATCATTGACCACAACAAATCTAAAAACTTATAGAAGACATGCATTGTTGACAGAATGTTATAGAAGTGAACAAATCTATGTTTGATTACTTGAGATAAAACAAGTCTCCGACAAAACAATAAATCAAAGGTTTCTGATAATATTTTTTTTTTTATCAAAAGTTTGATGAAATTTTGGCTATACCACTTTCTAATCACATAGCTGGTGATATGTGAGATAAGCGCCCTCTAGTGGTGAAATAAGTACCAAATCAGAACTAGAACTGAGTACAAACTGTAGAAGCCATGTCTTATTATGTTTAGTAATTTTAGAACTTCTCCACTACATGATTTAGTCACAGCTTGATGGTAAGTAAGCAATTACACTTCTAAGTTGCAAGACACTGCGAAACATATTGAGTGACACATACAATGTACATGTAGGTCACTGTACTCTAATGGCTTGTACTGAGCTACTTTGAGGAAAACTACAACTTTCAAAAATGAGGTATTAACTATGACAGCAATTTTGTTTCCTCCACAGACGATTTTTTTTTACGAACAGCAGTCGGGATTGTGAGTATAATGCAAACTAATAGAATACAGGAAACGATTTTTACTTCAGTGTAGTCAAACACCAACAGAGTTACCTGGAATATACACATATACCAAACTAAGTGTACAGGTTTACATTGTTCCATATAATCATTATATATATAATTTAATATACTTGTTATGTTATTGAGTGTCTTAGTGAGAATTCTAGATAACTCTGTGTAGTATACATGCACAAATACAAAACCCCTACACCATGGTGCAACAAAACAACCGAAATGTATCTAACGACAAATGAACCATACCTGCTTCTTTTTCTGTCTCTCAGCCTCTGCTCCAGTGACTTCCGGCAACGTTGTCTGAATTGGAATAAATAAAAACTTGTCACAACAAAGATAGTGTGAATCCTGATAGAAGTGTATAGTTGTAGGTGAGGCAGAGTATCATCGATCCCAGTGATACGATGTATATACCCCCACCCTTGATCCTAAAGCGGCCACCTAAGGTTGCGGGATCAGACCCCATAGCGTGGGATGAGACCAAAACGCCCCCAACCGGATTCCAAGGCTCCTTTCCCAGACCCCGGTACCACAAATTAGACAAACCGGGCAAAGGGGGATAGCCGCGTTCCATGGGTGTCTTTGCCAATTGAAGACGACCCATCCAGCCCTGAGGGCAGAGTTGCATGAGCACATTATTATGCGTGACCAGCACTCTGGAGACCTTGGAGGCAGAACGTACCAGCCTCCTAGACCAGGCGACATTTTTACTGGTGGGCCACTGCACCGCACATCTGCTACGAGACGCGGCCTTAGACGCACATGTTTTCGCCCGTCAAGCTGAGCCAGGGTACGTCCCCACCTCAGTGATGCAGACTGGCAGGCGCACAGAAAACAACGCCCTAGGGCGTCGTCCGCTAGCCAGAGTCAGCCAGGAGGCAAGCGCTTATACCCTTTCATGGGAGGGAAGGGTAGTAGCGCGCCCCCAGGGAGGTAAGAGCCAGGTGGTGGCTCCTCACCCTCTCTGGGCGGACGTCTACCCAGCAGCAGGGGAGGCATGTTTGACACTCACCTCTGCAACCAGGCGGGACAGGCACGTGTTCAGTGAATGGCCAGGTCACAACTTAGTGACTACTTCAGGCCTTGGGGAACTCACCTCATGGGGAAGGGAGCACCCCCCTCGCAACTGCCGAACACATGGCCACATATCCCTGTCGCACACAGATTGCGCCGGTGTAGTCCGGTTTGGAGACAGCGGGTGACCGACCCCTGGACCTTCCCAGGTGGTGACATTCTGTTAAAGGATACCGCTGAAATCTCCATCTCCCTTGTCAGTGTCCACCCTGTTTGGCACTGCCAGGGGACTTCCTTATTTCAGAAGCAATAAGACAGGAAGTCGCAGTTTGCTGGGAAACGGCGCCATACTCAGGGTACATCAGCCGGAACTAAGGCCAGGCTTCTACCCAAATGTGTTCGTAGTACCAAATCTACAAGTGGCAGGAGTCCAGTATTGGACCTAGGCAGACAGATTCAGTATGTGCTACTCGATCGGTTCCACATGGAGACACCATTCAGGGTTCTTCTCCCCATCCACCGTTTTGACTGGCTAGCCCCGCTAGACTTAAGCGGGGCCTACCTGCATGTACCGATGCACCCAGCGAGTTGCTATCTCCTTTGAATCGCCCAGCTGGGTGATTCGAAGGTCGGGTGCCCCCGGTTCGGGTTAGGCACAGCGCCCTACGTGTTCACCAGGGTGATGAAACAGGTAGTGCTGCTGCTTCACCAGATGTCGGTACACCTCAATCCGTACCCAGACTTCCAGTTACCAACAACCCGGGCAAGGGGTAATAGCCAAACGCATCAGGCTAACACAGGATTTACTTCAACAGTTGGGCTCATTAGTAAATCGACAAGTCCCACCTCGGCCCAATGCGCAGTTGGTGTCCCTGGGCGCCAAGCCTTCCTATGGGAACGAGATAGGCGGGTTTCGATCTCGGACCAAGTGAAGGAAGCCCTGTCCTGGTGGTCGTCACTGGCCATCCTCGGACAGAGGAGCCCCTTGGGCCCGCTCGCCGCAGGTATGACTCTGGTAACAGATACCTCTCCCTAGAGTTGGGGAGCGCATCTATTGGGCCAACAAGCCCAAGGATATGGCCCCTGCATTAGTTTCGGGACTACCATATCAACCGGCTCGAACTGAGAGCAGTGCACTACCACGCTTTCTGCCCATAGTTCGAGACCACAGAGTCATGCACCGCACAGGCAACGCAGAGGTGGTCTCTTTCAAGAAGGAGGGGGGACGCATTCCCCATCGTTGTCAGTCCCAGCGGAGCAAAATCCTCCTTTGGTGCCTGGAATACAATGTGGAGCTAACCGCACACCACCTTCCAGGGGTGAGGAGCAGTCTGGCGACGCCCTTTCAGGGCGGCTCCGTCCCCAGAACACGGAGTAGCTGATACCCCAGTGGGTAGCCTCCAGGCTGTTTCAGCCGTGGGACGGCCCAATGTTGGACAGTTTTGCCGCACCCCGGAACGCCAAGCTCCCGACGTACGTAACACTCCTGCTGACTCCAGGAGCCTGGGCCAGGGTCGCTTTGCTAGCCCCGTGGACCCACTTAGTTGTGTACGCCTTTCCTCTCTTCCCGCTAGTTCACCGGGCACCGGAGAAAACTTCCGACAGGTGCACACCCGCATATTATCATGGGTTGCACCCAATTGGCCAAGCAAGGCCTAGTTTCCACTTCTGTTGGAAATGCTAGTCGAAGCGCCAGCAGTGCTTCCGGACATACCGGACCTACCGTCCCAACCAGACAGCGCACTACCAACGAGCCCAGCAGGCATCACTTCCACGCATAGAGGCTCTCAGTAGACCTGCACATACGAAAGCCTTATCTGAGCGGGCGAACAGGGATTCCACCTACACGGCCTACATTTCCCGCCTATTCACATAGTTCATACCCACCATAGACTCCGGGTCTCCCCCAACCTCCACACTCTTTCCGTCCAGGTGGCCTCGGCCACGTGGGTTCGTGACGTAAGGGGTAAAAGAATCTTGAGGTCATGGGGCTTCCGTCTCCGTCACCGGCAGAATCGCTGATTAATGCCTACAGTTCAAAATAGTCATTTTGACTGACCGGAGTTCGGAGAACCCTCGCCTAAGTTTATAGTCTGCTTTTTCTTTCAGAAAATTGGAACAAAACTAAAAATTGACTCAAATTTTGTCTTTTGGCTACAGAATTAGGGTTCCTATCCAGAAATATTGGAGAATATAAGAACAAAGTGCGGAAACATTTGGACAATAATGTTTGGTGGTGAAAAGGTTAAAAAAGTTGATGAGTATTGTGTTCAAGGTGAAAACATCATCTCTAGCTGCAGATGTTTGCTAGGTAATTCAACCCAAGAAGCTAACTGTTGTTCCCTGAGATCTTTTTCACTACCAATCACCATTATAAAGTTTCCTACCCCAACTGATCAATTATCTTGAGGAATGAGTCTGTACAAAGATTATATGGGGTTTTTTTTTAGAAAGTAAAAATCAAGAAATCACATTTTTCCATAATTTCATCCACATTAAAGATATGAAAATTACATAATATTAAGTTATTAGATAAAAAAATCACAATAAGCTGCCTATACAAAATTAGGCATTAAGTAAGCATAATAATTAATGCATATATACTACAATTTAGAAATAAAAAAAGAATTTTTAAACTAGTACAAGAAATTATTAATTATCAATGGAATATTTTTTCACAGAAATAAAAAGCATGTCATTTAGCAAAATATTTTTCAATATTTCAGTTTCAATTGAAAAAATACTCCAATGAAATGAAATGAAATGAAAGAATTACTATTTACAACTAAAAGCATTTACTAAAGCTGCGTTATTTTTGTTACCGGCTAATAATCTAATCTAGCCAAATCTGGAATGCAAACTGTTATGCTATGTTATGAGGTGGGAACTGAGTTGTTGACTTACAGGTTGTACATGATGTAATGAAGCAGGAGTTGATTCATGGCTACCATCCTGTTTACATGCATTAAAACACACCAACAAATAAACATTGTTGAAAAACAATATAAAACAAAACAACACACATTAATGCTTCTTAAAAACAGTATTTTTACACTTAGAAAACTAATAAAATTGATGATTTTATAAGTAATGGGCATAATTACTATAAAAATACACTTTTTAAGAAACACTTGTGGATATAAATAATACACACACTAATAGGATCAATTATTGGGCCAAGGTGGTGTTATTCTCAGCTTAGTAATTCAATACTTAAAGTAATATTCATATGAGTAATAATTAAATCTAAACCAATGTAGTGATTTATACAGCCACATATACCGGTACATGCTGTATTTCATCACATATTAACCAAAAAGAACAAATAGAAAACCCTTTTGGAATTCATTTCAGCATATGTGCTACTACTTATAGCACAAATCTTTAGTTTTGTCAGAGACAAATTGCAAATTGTGGGACTCCTACAATTTTGTTAGCAGTGAACATTTCAGTGAATTCCTCAAGATGATCACAGCGATCTTCTTGAAGATTGTGTCCTTGTAAGAACATCCTCAAATCATGATGACAAAAGTGACGAAAAATCAACATTTTATAGTAGTATTGATGGCCCAAATGATTTGTAAGGTTACCATAGATCCAGGGATAGTATTAACCCCATACTCTGATTCCCGGACATACACTTAAGTACAAAAAGGATCCCATATGTGCACAGAATATATTGAATAAGTTCATTTTCTCATTGAGACCCAAAACACAAAAATGCTAACACAGACAAAACTGATAAATAAACACAATACAAACAATAGAAATTAAGTATAGTCCCAGGGATGGTAAACAGGGTCTTTAATTCAAATTTGCCATGAAGATATTGATCATTATTAGAAACAAATATAATGAAGTGTTGCCATTACGCATAATACTTTGTTGCCACATGCCATAACACCTATTTAACTATAGATACTGAAGGCACATATAGCAGGAATCAAAGATGTTAATTTGATGGTTTGAATCAAAATGTACAAGTTCATCAATAGAAATAAAGTTGTGTCTAGAAGTGATAGCGCCCTCTATAACTGACATTGAGAGATGATCACTTACAGGTACACTCTTTGATCTCTTCTTTTTCTTTTTCTTCTTTTTATGTTTCTTTTCGGTGTCATCATCCGGTTCAGGAGGTAATTCCGGTTCTGGTTCACTGTCACTGTCGCTGGAACTGTCAAGAAACACAAGTATCAGTTACTTGCATATATTTTACAATAAAAGTCAAGTTTTTTATGTGAAGTAATTTTACAGTATTAAATGTGGTATCACATGTAAGAAACAATTATGTGATATTTCCAGCAAAGCAAGGCAGCATAGTTCAAGATGAAGTTCATTGTAAGGATGTTCTACTTATTTTCACCACTTTTCTCATTCCTGAGTTTCAAACATATAATAATAGGATTATGAGAATAGTGCATAGTATGTGAGTACACAACTGTATTGTCTTTGTACTTATCACACCATATCATGTTTGATGTGGGACTAATAGCAATGTATATAACGCCTGTAAAAGCAATGTTTGTTTACATGAAATTCAATCAGGCATTGCATGATGACTGCTGTCTTCTTTTAAACTAATACAATCATACATTTGGTTAACATGCGACTTACTCAGATTCATTAAATGCTTTAGTGATATCCAAATCCTCCAATATCCTAATACAACTATCAATGGTTTCAGCCGACATATCATCCAGCATCTGTATAGCAGACTGTTTACTGCCAAAATCCAGTAAATTCTTTGGTAAGATAGCTCTAGGTGGCTGCCTTGTCTTACTGTTGTCATCTTGTTTCTCTTGTTTTACATTTTTTCCTGTTAATATTATCATTTAATTTGCTTTTGTTTGGTATAGTTGTGTTATTACAAAACAAAAGCCCAGAATCACGCACTAGTTTACAGGGAATGGCTATGCATAATATATTTAGTACACACGTGTCATTATTATCTGATATAAGGCTTAAGAACAGGAACATTAAGGATATCATGTGGCCAAATGGATACTGTATTGGTAGTTGATATGCAGCGAATAGTTATTCATGGTGATGACGCTTACCAAATTTTGACTACATCTTGTTAACTGTTAATGATTGTTTTGTGAGTGTTTTATATAATATTGACTGAGAGGCATGTACTAACAAATGTACAGTCCAAATATGAGAGTTGGTGTCCTCACACACAAGATTTCATCTCCTGCACAAAACATGCATACATCATCAACATGACAAATGTGTCACAAGCTGTAACACATAAAGCGCTCTCTACAGGACATCAACAAATACTAACCTCGTTTTTCATTATCACTATCAGAATCACTCAACCTGGAAGAGAAATCTGGCATAGAGGGCGGCAACATGCCTCTCTTCTCTAATATCTGATGAGTCAGCTGTCTTGTCAATTCTAATATTAATTCTGAGTAAAGACTGGAGAACAAAAATATGAGTAAAAAATATTCAGTTAGTGTTGAGAATCATATAAAAAATTGTTAGAAAAAGATTTTCTAATCCTGATTTAGTCACATGAATAATTGAAAAAAAATAATTTATACATGATAAATAAAAAACAAAAATGTAACAGAAAGATGAATATGAACAATCAGCCAATTACAGTGTAATACATACACGCACAAAATATTCTCTCAGTTTGCTTAACGAACAGTTTTAAAAAGTTTGAAAAAAAAATTTAAATTAAGTTGAGCTAATAACATTTCCATCCATGCAAACATCCTATTTGTATATGTATGTTATATCATGCATTTACATATATCCATAACTAGTCAGTAACATCATCCGCTCATGCAGTAGTCCCTGTACCATATAAAGTAGAACATTATGTCTGTCTCAGCATGCAACATACTATAGGTAGTATTTATAATTATAAATTGATTAAATAAACATGCAAGATGATGTACAGTTGCCAGGGAGTGTTCTCCTTTCATTATCTTGATTGTGGCTACTTTCGGTAGCTACTGCCCTCTTGAGGTGATAAGCAGAAATGAAACACTCATGGCTATTAGCATTGCGGGCACAGGTAAGAGTGTTGTCAAGATTATTTGCATAAAATAGAATTTAGAGTTTAGTATTTATTGCACTCATTTTGAAAATACAAAATGTTTAATGAACTGACAGTGGCAAGATTGTCATTAGAAATTCTTGAGAACACTGATAATCCTGATTATCTATTTTCTACATTGTTGTTGAGTAGAAAAGACATTGGCATGTTTACCTGCTATCTCTCTTGACTCTACAAGTTGCAAGATATAAAAGCAAGAAGGGAAGAGCATTGCATGATGGGTAGTCTACAATTGAAGGGACTATAATATGGGTGTCTGAAAGAAGGTTGATATAGGTATCACACCCCAATTAAACTCTCAATAAACTATAACATGAAAATCACATCTCATTTACATATACAGCCATTCTTGTTACTCAAAGTAGAGAAAAGCTGAAAATTTCTAGTTTTAAACTTATCATTATCATAATAGTACACAAATGTCTCCAAACTGAAACTGAATCATAATACTAAAAAATACTTTGCAAATTTTTCTAGCAGTGAAGATTTCTCTTGAGTCCGAAAACACAGATTGTCAATTACTTCCATGTAATTTTGTCTTCACAAATACAATGTAATCCTGAAATCGGGAAATTTCTAGCAGGAATTATTGAACAGTATTAGACACAGCTGACTTCATCTCAAAACTGCTTAGTGTTCATCATAAAATACTGAATCTGAGATATTCTAAATGTGGAGTGAAACCTACAAAGGTCTGATTGAAGAATGGATATCGAATTGACATGTACATATGCTTCCTAGAAATGCAAACCTTATTATAATTGATTCAAAATATGTCATGCATGCATTCTCATTTGTTTCTGTATTTTTGATCAAGTTTCAGTGTTGAATAAAAAGGTTTGAATAAAAAAAAAATGTTCATTTTCCATACATATAGAGAAACACTACTGTAAAATATTTAATTTGGGATTAATCCTTACTGATTTTTGTTGGTGTTTTGATTAATTGTTAATTGTCACTGATTTGTGATGACTTGAGTGTAAAATATAGAAAAAAGGTATATTTGCTGGATTTTATTTTCACTAACATCCATTCTCACATACATTCAGCGAAAACAAAGTATTTTACAGTTGTTACCAGTAACCTTTAACCCTTGGAGCATTAAAGTTTTTGTCACCTTTAAAAAACAAACATGCATCATTTTTTCTATATTTTTCCCAAAAACGTTGATTAAGACAGCAAACAGGAAATGTTGTCACTTTGATCCAAAATTTTTGAGAAATGATAGAAAAAATATAAAATTCAAGTGGAATATTCCACCAATTTAGATTTAGTTTAGACTAAACTGACTGGAAACATTATTGATAATAAACAATTTTTACAATTTATTAGAACACTTGTACAAAACTGAATTGCAAATAATACACAAATGGAGATCAAACAGAAATAATGACACTATACGAACAATTAGTCATAAAAAAAGAAAGCAGATATGATACAAAGTTCTTTGAAAATAAATTATCACAGTTTTTTACAAATTATGCTACAACGATAACTAAATAATAAAAAGTAAATGTATGAGATGTTACCTCTTGTTTTCCTTTGCCTTGGTATAGTCCAATACAACCTCACAGAAGTGTTTACCCATTGATTCAAAATCCTTACTGGTAAAATGACGTGGGGGTTCAGCACTGGAAATAAAAACAAAATTTGTGAGAACAGTGGAATTTGAAATAACAGAACTTTTAAGATGGTGGCTGATTTGTACGAAATGAATTCAAGTTCTTCATTCTACTTCTGGCTGATATTCAACACTGAGGGCGATGTTTAAAAGACATATACTGTCAAACAATTTTAAAATGCATGTAGTAAGACATAGTGACCTGTTAGTTACAGTCCTGTTGACAACCTTATCTTAATATGCAGTGTACATGCCACACACTGTCATGAAGCAATATTTTTTATATGCTGTTGACCGTTCATAGAAGCCATATCGATAACAATGTGTGAATGCTAGTTAAAAATCCATATTTTACATTTATTTCTAAAAAATTACTTCTGATCAGTGCATGTATTTGTTAAAAGTTCATAACTTTTTTTCTAGTTTTTTTTTAACATCTCAATCTATTTTAGTCTAAATAATGATGCAATACCGGTTTACCTTAGTAGGTTTTTGCTACCACAGAATGTTGCTTCCATTGTAAAGCTATTACTGATACCAAGCTGTCTCCACATAACAACTCTACCCGTAGATTCTTTGCATTTCTTCACTTGAAATTTACATCCTCTGAAGGAAAACTTATCGGGTGCCTGCAAGACGAGATTCCCAAATAAAACCGAGTCAATACTGTCATGGTATCATCCAATGATGAGTTTTTAATCTATGATACCACTGGTCTTATTCCAACATTCAAATAATAAATCTAAAACAAGTAGTATTTTTCACAATTGTTTTGTCATCTTTTTTCATACAGAGTCAAAATAATCTTTACAATTGTGCTACCAGAGGAGTAAACAGTACATATGTCACATGACATACATTTATGATAATGATCAATCAAGTATTCATTTAGTTGTTAACATTTTACCCCATTAGTATCCATTTGGAGAGAGAATCCATTTGATGAGTGTCAAAGTCAACTTCTGTCACCATCCACAAAATAGTTCTATTTATAGTCTGCTCTTTTTCACGTGAAATCTTTCAAAAATTTCAAATTTTTTGAACAAAAACTAGATGTTATGTCACATTTTGTCCTTTTGTTTCAAAATTAAGATTGAATTCAGTAAATATTACAGATAATGTGAACAAATTTACCCGAATTTAAGCGAAAAAAAATTTAGCACTCAAAAGGTTAAATAATTACAATAGAAAGAAGAGTATACATCTACTATTTTGATTCTATGAAACAACCTTCATACCTTGACTGACATCATCCATGGGAATAGTCTATCCTGTAAAAATGAAGCAGCGCCACCTTCTCCTTTCATTCCAGAGTTACAGCCATAAATAAATACATTGTGTTTACGACTATGACCATGTAAATCACAGTAAACAACCATCTGTAATAATGAATAATTAAAGCGGTTACAGTAATTTCAATCCATGTATGTGATAAATACAGTATATAAAACTGTCAGATTTTCTCTCGGTTTGAAATCAGTTTGACATTTGGATTACCGCTACAAAAGTATCAATCTATTACTGTTACAAATCAATAGCAGTAATCAATCAGTTTTGAATGGCTTTCAAAAATTACTTTGCAGAATAATTTAAATAACAGACATATAAAAGTCATCAATTGTTGAATATAAGTGAGCCCTGATTTGCAAAATTTCAAATTTGAATAAATGAAAGTATATTATTATTGTTGTCTTCATGACACGTAATGTTTCCCATGGGTCCCATGCTATCTAAAAACATTGTTGTTAACATGAAATTTGAATGCACACTGCACAAAGACTGCAGAACTTTAAAGCGATGGAGTTGTCAAAACGTGTTGTGTTCGATAGCGTCTTATATCGACATATACAATGCATATCTATGCAAAATACATTGTTTAAATTCAAACACGCGCTGCACAACTGTAGCACTTGAATAGGTGAAACAAACAATGTATTTAGTTTTAATCTTACCTCATGTTGTTTTGCAAAGTCTTCTAACATTGACTTCGTATGCCATATTGTTGGAAAAGACTCTTTCTTTGGATGTCGATAGTTCCTATTGAGATCTCTGGCAGCCAAAGAGCATCTATAATTGCCTACTATCACACCGTCAGGATTCAGCATTGGTACTATCTTAAATACAAAATTTCTTCTCAATTCCTGCAATGTAAACATTAGCTTTCAGAATATATATTTCATTATTGTCCTCTTGTGTCTTACATGTATGTAATGATATTTCAATATTTACCGGTAGATGTTATTACACTATTATTCAGTGATACGATTGGATTCCTACCACATACAATATTACATTGTAGTTTTGCTTGGTACAAATGAAGAACGGGATAAAATTATATTGTAATATGACAGAACTACATACTAACCTTGCCTTGATGTTTCTGGGGTATGGAAATTATTTTTTATAAGTGAAGTGAGTAGAAATAACACATTTTCTTGGCATTTGAAATCAAATACCATTATTAGCATAATTATTGAGTATTTATTTTGTTATATAGTTTAAATGATGAATGAATGAATGAATGAATGAATGAATGAATGGATGGATGGATGGATGGATGGATGGATGGATGGATGGATGGATGGATGGATGGATGGATGGATGGATGGATGGATGGATGAATGAATGAATGAATGAATGAATGAATGAACAAACAAAAAAACAAACAAATGAATGAATATTTACCTTGGCACTAGTATCATTACTAGTTAGGAATTCCAGTAATCCTTTCATCATCCAGCTTGAGTTTGTCTCACCAGGATGCACTCGTGCTGATACAACAACTCCTTTTTTTTGCTCATCACGATTTTTATCTAAATGAGATAAAAACAAATTGTCATTGTCTACATCGTTGGGTGTTTGTAGATGTGAATAGTTCATAAGGTTTTGTATAGATTCTAGAAATACATGTTATGAACTTACTGTACTGGCAGATATCAACTTGAAATAAGAGAAATCAAATTGCATGTAGCACTAAGGACTTGAAAAGCATTGTTGTCTAGTATTCTAAATTATTCATTGGTTTTTAATTTGCTATTTACACTGATGAGTAAAATTTGCTAAAGTAAATGCACATGAGCGAATAGAACTCATTGTTTCTCTGCCAAGTATGTAATATTAGAAAAAAACACTTAAATTGCTCAAAAAATCAAAAATAAATGGTTTTAAAGTAATGTAGAGTGTAATGTTAAGCTTTATTTGTCATTGAGAACAGAAAATCAAATGTATATTTTTTATTATGACATTAAAGCAGTTTGGTCAGTAGACTTTGTAGGGTCTTGATCTCAAGGTAATAGTGAGATACTTTTTATGGTTAACTTTACTCAAAGGTCATACATCCTGGTACTTTGTATAGTTTAACTTAACCCAAAGGTTACACATCCTGGTACTTTGTATGGTTTAACTTGACCCAAAGGTCATACATCCTGGTACTTTGTATGGTTAACTTTACCCAAAGGTCATACATCCTGGTACTTTGTATGGTTTAACTTGACCCAAAGGTCATACATCCTGGTACTTTGTATGATTTAACATTTCAATTTAAATGTCTGATAATCATTGTAAAAGTAAATACAGTGATAAAACATACCTTCAGGTGAAGTGATGGTCAAAAGAAAGCAGCTATTACCAGCTTTAGTTTCACACATAACTTCTTTTTTGATATATTTCTTTTTATGTGGATTTGATACAAGACATTCTATATGTTCTTTGAGATCAGTAAATGTATACGGGTAACAATGGGCAAGATAACAGGTGTCGTGTTCAGCTGGAAACTCCTGTAACCATAACAACAATTGAAGTTAACTATAAATAATTTAAATTATTAGTAACCTAGTCATATGATTTATAAACATCCACATAAAGATGTTAGAATTTCAGTTTTGTACCAAAAATATTGAATTCTGATTATAGCATCTAAAAATTGCCTTTGAAAATACAAGAAATGTTAGTGAGATACAAGCAATATATTCTGTATTCGTGTACAAAGACGAGATAATAGTAACATCTTGGAATCTATGTGATTTTATCATTATTAAACTTTTAGTTCAACAATTAAAATTTAAAACTTTATTACACTTTTTAACCAAACTAGAAATGAAATGTTTCTTTACGGTAGTAATAAAGAATTATCTTATCTTATGTGTTTGTTCCAGAACATTGCTGAGGGACAACAGCAGTAAAGGAATCTTTGCATGTGATGTAATTAATGCTCAACCTTATAACATTGTACATATCAGAGATATAGATACATGTAAAAAAGCACTAGCATGGCTGCCAATATCTAGGAATTGTGATCAAAATACCAAACGTGCAAAAGGTCTAATGACTGACGGATCATAAAATCACCCTATTACCATCAAAGAACTATTTACTTGTATGCATTCAGCATCATAGGAACCAAAAATTTCATCAAGTATTAAGTACAATGATCATTCTAACCATCAAAATGTCAATAACAGTATAGCAAATAGAAAACACTCTATGTGCTATCTTACCATTTGCCATTCTAGGACATAATACACCATTTCAGAATGTAGTAATGGGTTTCTTGTTAAATTATAATTGCGTGAGTAACTTATATGATGTCCAGATCTTAGCCAACCAACACTCTTGTCTTGTGCTACTTTCTCTGAATACAATAATGGTCTCATACCTATAATGAAAGTATAAAAAAACAAAAATAAATTTGCTGATATAGATCTAGACAATGTAAATATGCTTTCAGTTTACTTTGCTTGAGTCACAAAGAGGATGTATGTGATGGGTATTTCCCTGCACCTTTATTTCCTGCATCTTTTCCACCCAAAATAAAGTTCAGAGGTAAATAATGTGATTTGATAAAAACTATACAAATCAAACCATTTCTGGTTTAGTTCAAATTGTGCCACACAATATTAACTTTTTCACCACCAGACTTTCTCGCCCAAATTTGTCTGCACTTTTTTCTTATGTTTCTTCAATAAACCCTAATTTTGTAGCCAACAGTTTTTATTCAAAAAATGTAGCTTTTTTGTCCCAAACAGGACTATTTTGTGAATTTGTGATGAGAAGGTTAAAACCATTTCACACAACATGTAAGCATAAATTAGACCCACTTACCATGGTTGTATAAACTATCCCTCTTAAGTAAATTGACAATATTAAATTTATAGGTGACTCCAGGACGCATACGTTGTACTCTAAAATAAAACCACTGTGTGTGTCTATTTGTGTATAAATCTGTCTTCAGTACTAGCTCATACTCAAACTGTCCTCTGAAAATCACAAATTTTGTTACAGTGAATTTCATGAAAGCGTGAATGTTTTTTTATAATAAATTTATAAGATATCAGGATTTATAACAAAAATTCACCTAGAAGACCTTCACACTTCTTTTAAGTCAAAAGAACATGTTTTTTTAGCTATAGAAGTTATTTGCTAACACTCATTACCCATGAGTCTTTGCAGGTTTCCTTCAATCATTAGATGGTTTACTGCCATGTATTCATAATGTGTTGTGATTGGTTGTTTTTAACCATCATTTGAAATTTAGAAAACATTTTATATTAAAAAAAAACATTCATGTCTATATAAAAATCACTGTATTGTGGAAATAAATAGACAACATTTAAAAGATAATAATTAGTAGCAATTGCATCAATTCATGAGTATGACGCCGGTTATTAAAAAAATGCTGAAAAGAATGTACAAAGACAGTACTGGATAGCAAATGTCAATACTACAACAATTATAAATATGCCTGTCAAAATACAGGTTTTCCCGTTTGTTTGTTTGAATCAAATTACTGCTTGAATGAATAGTTACATTTAGTGACGTCATTTCTATATAATAACAGTAGTTGTACTTACATTCTTCTTGCTTGTCTAAGATTACCCGATTCAAATCTTGACTCAAACATCAAACTTGGTGCACATCCTTCAGGCACATCATGTGGTAGACTACCTTTAGTGGTTCTCTCTGAATCAAATACTGATATAACTTTATCCCATCGCCGTGTAAATGTAGTTTTCTGATTATGAATAGTTTGACCATGACTGGGAACTAAATCAAGAAAAAGATTTTTTTTAATCACAGTATTCTCATCAATGCAAGTACTGCCGAATGTAGAACACATAAAAGTAGGAGATAATAATATGTCACTTAACTATAAAAAAACACACATTAAAATTAGAATAATAAGAATCATAATTAACAAATTA